TTTTTTAATTTATTTTTATTTTTATTTATATATATATTTAATTTAAATTATTTTAATTTGTAATTAAAACTTATCTATTATGTAGTTAAGCCTTTAACTGACGATAAAAACTGTTGAAGGCTAATTAATCCTCCACTGGCATGGTTCATCAATAAAAATTTGCATATTTGCCAATATAAAATTATGAAGACATCTTTAAATTATCTACATTATGTTAAAACTAATACACTGAATGTCTTATAAGAAGGACATACCTAGTAAGGGGGCGTCCATAAATTACGTGTGATGTTTAAAGGGGGGGGGGGGTAGACTCAAATCTCATCTAATCTAACGTTGGAGAGAGGGGGGGTCTCAGCAAATATCACGTAATTTTTTTTTCTAATAGATTAAAAAAAATATACTATTTTTACCGACTTCATAGTTCATTTATTCCAGGTTGTACATGCTTAAGATTTAATTGTACATGCACATGTTTTTTTTTTCGTTTTGCAATAGCAATCCAACGCGTTTACGTCAAAATTCAACATTTTGAAAAATCTCACGTGAGATTGGGGGATGGGGGAGGGTGTTGAATAAAATCTCACGAAATCTCACCAAGGGGGGAGGGAGGGACAGACAGTTAAAAAAAACACCTCACGTAATTTATGGACGCCCCCTAACATGTTTAGTTAAGTAAATGTTTGTACCTGAAAAAGTATTTGAGATGAATTCACATAATACTTTGAACTGTCTGACATAAAACAAGTCACAATAATATGTATAAACGTATTAAAAAAAAAACAGGCAGTGGAATAATTCGATTTTCGTTTATAGCGCGCCTGTAGCACGGTCGCAATATCGATCGTAAATCTATATAATGTATTGTAAAATAATGTTTAATGTTTTTTTATTATTGTAACATTTAGTGGCGTGGTGGGAGGTAGGGGTCTATCCCTAGCAACGGAAATCCCAATCTAGAAATCGAAACGGGCTGGTGATGTCAACAGTAGAATTAAGGCTATATTTCATCGGGACACCATGGCGGCGTAACCAGTCGTGCCACCGTAGTTTCTGTAGCTACCAAACTAGACACCATGCAGACACTAGAGTCGCCACACAATACTGTGATACTACTGCCAATTAATTTGGTAATATTACGATACCAGGTAACTCTATAATTATATAGAGTTGTATACATTTCGTTGGTAACGGCGACTGGTTGCGCCGCCATAGTGTAGGTACCGGTGGCCCTTAAAGAGCCGTGTGGAGAGTAGATTACATTTATTTGTCACTATCTCTATTGTTCCCTTGGGTAACTAGCCGTAACTATAGAAACGGAAACTATAGTTTTTTTCTTCTTCTCTTATAATATCTTCTGATTCACTTCGTTACGGGAACTAAGACAGCTATTCATGTCCCTGGGACGCGCCGGCCTTCAGTGTTCCGGTGTTTACATGGTTGTATCTACTGTAGATCTTGGCTTATACGAGTGGCAGCGGTTTTGGGAGGTTGTGGCGGGCTTGTCCCAACTGTAGCCGTAAGAGTCGGCTAAGGCATTTGACAGAGACCAGGCAGCGGCGCCCTTGTTTCTCAACTCGATGACTGAAGTTCAAAGGCTCTCTTTTGCAGACGAGGTCCTTGTCCATTCTCCAGGATTGTTAATGATAAATTAGATTTACCTGTGCGACGTATCATCCACATCACCTCTCCGCCGATGATGGGCCAACTCCTGACGAGTATAGCACTTTCTCTCCATAGTAAATATCTACAAATTAATAAAACATACTCATTATAATAAGTTATTTATTGTTAATAACTATCGTGAGACATACTAAATTAACTAAAAATCGCGGATTACTCACGTGAATATACTGACTGACTTAGTCGACTGTGCGACATCGCACGCTGCTCATGAGGAAGAATCCCTCTGTGGTTCGAAACTAGTAGAGCTTTTCTCAGTACATTCACGTGAGTAACCCGCGATTTTTAGTTTATTTACTCATTACTTCTTCGTTATCAATCGACAACTATCATTCAAGTAATTAACTATTATTTACATTACCTGATAACATTCTCGTAATTATTGTAAATAAAAAAATAGGTATATATAAAATTACAATTTGTAAACGTATTGTCTAGATAATTGGTGTGAATATTCTTTATCAATGGGTGCATGAATTACGTCATTATGTCGGCTTTACTCATTTGGTAGGTAAAGGATAATTATTACTTATTTACTAAGTACTGGCGACTATAACCACATTACCACAATTCAATTATGTTAATAGAATATAGAGACAGTTGTTTTCTTTTACTTAGGTACATTAGATAAGTTTTAAATTATAATGGGATTATCCAAAAGGCATTGTTCCTGGAATTTAAAAATGTGTAAAAGTGTTTTATGCCCTAAAGGAGCAGACAAAGTTGTATTTATTATTTTCTACAGCACTTAGTAAACTTTCAAAGCAATCGAACCAGTGTCCAATCAAACCAAAGTATTGTAATGAAATCTAATGAGTTTAGCCAGTAAATCATGTAAATAAACAATGTGCTTAGTCATGTCCAATTTTCATCATGTTATGCAATTTTTTATTTCAATTGCTCATAAGCCATATCTATTTGATCAGCATGACTTTGCAAATTGTTAATTTTTTAATTTACTTCCAATATTTAAATATCTAAGAAGAAAATATGTAATTAAGTTAGGCCCTACTACTTTATACGCAGCTACTCTAATTCTACAATATTATGCATAATGACTTAATTACTAAATTAAAGTATAATACAGGGTGTAAACGGAACGTCCTGGAAATACGTTGACAGGTGATAGTAAAAAACAAGTCTTCATAAAAGTAAGGCATTCAATGTTTCTTTTAAGTAATAATAGTTGTGATCAACTGCTCAAGGTTGAGACTGCACGGTTGGTGTGGTGGCTGGGCAACCGGCTGCCATGCAGCGTGTCGCGGGTTCGATTCCCGCACGGAACACTTTGTGTGATCCACAAATTGTTGTTTCGGGTCTGGATGTCATATGTATGTGAACTTGTATTTTTGTAAACACACCCACGACACAGGAGATAATCCTAGTGTGGGGCAACGAAAAAAGAAAAATATGCTGCATGAATAACATGAAAACAAAAATTATTAAAATTGTAAAAACAATTTCTTTTTATGCATCATTTCAGGAGCATTCCGTTTACACCCTGTATAGCAGAAATGCAGTAAAATTAAACATATTATAAATTAAAAAAAATAAGTGTACCTTTAAATGCTTAACACAGAGATCACAAAAGTATCTCTCATGGATTTTCCTCATATGATCACTCAGCATACTAAAAGTACGAAATGGTGGTATCTTGTCACAGATCTTGCAGCGGTTTTCAAGCAACCGCTCATAAGCCTGTTTTATATCCTCATTACAGAACCCAATCTTATACTGCCTCTCGAAGAGGCGGTCAGAGAACGCCCTGTTGCGGAGCTCTTTATAGGGTTGGATGGTATCCGTAAATACAACCTGTGGAATAAGTTTAAATTAAAAAAGCTCTGTGATTTGTTATTCAATAATGACCTTTAAGTACTATAGTTTGGAGTTTTCTTTTCAATACTTAATTAAACATTTTATTGCCTGTTTTTAATCACAAATGTGAGGAAGAGTACCTATAGTTGAAATAAGTAATCAAACTTAGTATGTTGGTTTTATTCACATTATTCATAAAAATCAGAAACTAACTCATACACAATCATTTGACATAAATGCCCAAAATTTGTTCATATAAAAATAGTCTCTAAACATCAGATATAAGGTCTATAACGGAGTTAGTAGAGAGCGGTCACCGGTGACCTTTTGATGGTTGTTTAGTTAAAATAATAAAGGAAAAATATATTCAAAATACTTATCTGGGTTTATTAAAATGCTATAACTTTAGGGTAACAGGAAAACATCAGTTTTTAAATTAGGAGATAGAAAGTTTCTAAGGGTGTGTGTTTGTGCCCCTTTCAAACAAAAACTCGGTATCTATTGTTTTTTCTGTACGAAATTTGATACAGAGATAATATTTACTATATTCTGAAATAACATACCATATTGATGTGTATTATAGACTTCAAGATCCATCCCGCTTAAGATATTTTTAAGCTTGTCCTACTAGTTTTTATAATAACTATTGTGAGACATACAAAATTAACTAAAAATATTGTAGGCTGCACGACAATGCCGCGACTGCGCACACTGTTCATGAGGAAGAACCCCTCTGTGGTTCGAAACTAGTAGAGCTTTTCTCACTATTTTCAAGTGAGTAACCCGCGATTTTTAGTTTATTTATTATGTCTTAAGATAGTTATTATAAGAACAGATTAAAAGAGAAGAAATTTAGTTAAGTCCTACTGGTATTATGAATGTCAAAGTCTGAATGTTTGTTTGTTTATTATTCCTACATATAAAAACGCTAAAAGAATTTAGATAAAGGATAGATTATAGTCTGGAATAAAACGTAGGCTGTGTTTTATTCCATTGGAATGTTGATGAAGCAACTGGCTAGGATTTACATTAATGTTTAGTTTTCGTAAAACTTAGTCACTTTCCTTATTTTGTGGTTTAGTGCATAATACAGTACTTATATTCAATTCTACCAGCTCAGCAGTTACAATGTTTCAAGGGTACACAATTACCAAAATAAAATAATAGGGTATTGATAATAACATATTTTCTACATCTAAATACAAATTATAATTTGATTATTTATTATATTGGACTTATTATCAATTTGAACATATTAATTAGACCACAAAATAAGTTACATGCTTAATGATTTTATTATCTCTAAGAATCTAATAAGACAATTAACATAGGTGATAATATTAGAGGTAGTAAGTAGCCACCACCAACTGTCATGTGCCTATTATAAGTTTATCAACAGAATGTTCAATTAAAATGTTCTAGACAAGAAAATAATAGTAGAAATATTCGCATATTGTGTAATAATAATGCAAGTGATTCGCTGAATGTGTTTATAATACACAATGTTGCACAATGATACCCTGTGCACCGAGGATGTGAGAAACATAACATTCATAGTATTGTACATCACTGGAACTTACCCTTGAAAGGTCCTGCCGGCAGATAGGACACTCATTTTGCAGGCAAAGGACCCGCATTCGGGTAGAACACTCGAAACATACGGGATGGTCACATTCGCCAATCGAATAGTACAAAACGTTCTTGAAACACACTACGCAAGTATTCTCATTTGAACTCGAGTCGGCCATAGTTCCGAGTTGGATTCTGGAAAATTTTACACGATACTAATATCCGACGAAGATATGTCGAGATTTTTGATAAAAATCAAGGAATAAATATTAGAGATACCTACGTAAGATTGAGAAAAGGAAGGACGAAAATTTCGTAGCGCTGGAATGACAGCCAGGTGTAAAATTGCTATATGAAAATAATACTCAGAATACCTCAAAAATCAACTATACTCTATAGCCTTAAAATTAGCTATGGTTTTGTATTGTGAGATAGAATTTCAGTTGTCAGAAAAAACGGTGAAGTGAACGGTTTGAAGTTTAAAAAATTGTTTGCGTTTGAATTTCAACAATTCAAAGATCGTTTATTATTGAGTTTGAAAGTTTTAATAAAATGTGTGATAAAATCAAGTAAAACTTGTGATTTATGAGTTCTAAGTGTTTCATTTACGCTGATCATGTATTTCCAAGTTAGTATCATTAGCTTTACTTCGTACTGTTGTAACAAATCCACCAAAATTACAGATGTTTTAAATGTCGTTTTATATTTTTAGATTGAAAATACTCCTGAACATATACGAAGGGCTCGTCGCGCGGAATTTGTTGTGAAGGAGGCACCAAAGGAAGAATGTCCTCGTCTTGTCCTGGCCCCGTTTTCTCGGCCTCCGCAAGTGGTATTCGACAATGTTCTTATTGGTGCAACTTGCGAGAGGAACCTGGAGGTGTTCAACCCGTCAAAGCAAGTACAACAGGTAACAGATGCCAAAGAGATGGCTCTTTTTAAAGGATTATAACAATATTGAACTTAAAATGTAATGGTTTTCATGTAACTATGTATAACATTATTTGAAATAACGTATTTGATACTTGGTACACATTCTAATAGGAAGTAGTCTTCTAAATTGGGTTGATAAGTACCAAACTTGAATGAATTATAATAGTATATTCAGCCAAAGCTGATCATCATATTATTATTTTGTCTTCTCACTTAAAGGATACATACTCACAACATTACTGAATTATGATCTATATTTAATTTAATTTAGTATAGCTATTACACAACACA